CACACATATTTTATGATTCGTTTATGTACAAATTCATCAATGTTAATATAATAAAATATTTGTAAGAATTGTATATTTCCAAATCACTCAAAATTGATTAGCTAATATGACTTTTTCAAAATCACTCCACCATAGCTTTACGGAGTATCTAAAATATCAAATCGTAATTTTATAATGTCCATAAAAAATCAACTGAATTGATTTATTATATACCTACTATTCAGGAACACGATTTAAATTGACTAAAAAAGTCTTAATACGTATTCATAATTTAATTTTACCCGATAAGTAGGTACATCAATTGAATATCTTACAAATAACATTTTGTAAATTCAATTAATTGATATCAATGATGGACAATCCCTGAAAACGTTTTGGTTATTCACGCGTCGCGAGTACCATAATATACAGAAATAGCGAAAACGAATTATAATTTACATATAATAAGGCTAAAGACGTATCTATTGCAATATATAATGATTTATTTCATTCAAATTTTAAATATTCTATTTGATTTAGAAATAAATAATCTATACAAGCATGTACAATAAGCTAATGAGCTAAGAGAAGGTTAGGTTAGGACGCGAAAAATTGATTAAGAAGCCTCCCATTGGCAACACTTAACATGAATTATCATTTATTTATATATATATTTGTTTTTTAATTACTGATGGTTGGAATTGTGTGTATATATTGTATATTATAACTTGGTAATTGTAAGAAGTCACGACACTATTTCCTTGTTAGCCTTAATTTCCTGGAAGAGTTAGAGAGGAGAGGTTTTTAATAAGAGGATTTTGGTGGGATAGAAGTCGCATGCAGAAGCGCGAGTAAAAGAATTGAGCTTCTTCATTGATGGTTTTCATGTGAAAATCGTTATGTAATGTCAGGTTTGAGACGTGCGGTGGTGCATTGGAGAGTCGTCGAAGAGTTAGGTTTTGGAATGATTGGATTTTATTGGTGGTATGATTTTTTTGTTGAACTCAATTTTGATTAAAAAAAAAAAAATTTTATATTTTTCTCATTTCTCTAAGAATGAAAAAACTTTAGAAAAATGTGTTATCGGTAGTTGAGTAGTATATTGTATATATTGTCATAATATTATAGGTACTTACTTTGAACAATATATTAATCTTTTTTCTACTAAAAATATTGGATTATAACCTAATGAATAATGATGAATTTTATCCTATATTATATATAGGTATAAGATTTTATTACACGTTTAGAAATTATTAAAATGTAAAATTAAGGTTWAGCTTAAGTAAAAAAAAAACACGTAAATTAAAATTAAAATAAATTATTATTATTGAAAAAATTGTCATTTTTGACAGCTTTGGGTATATCTAGCAATACCAGATACCACGTTTTCGAGAATTCCTAAAAATGGGAATATTCTTTCTTGAGATCGTTGCTGGAAATTCCGGGAGTATCAACCCTAATTGGTAGGTATGGTTTATAAATATTAAATCGATAACTTTAAGAACAATTCATTCCATATTGAGCCATCAAGGTATGTTAGACTTTATTTTAAATTAATTACAAAAATACTAAATATTAAATAATATGTCGAAATCGAAAAATGCCAAATTTGAACTTTAATAACTATTTACGTGGACCCTTGTTTCAAATTTTCCACCTTTAACCATAAAAGTTACGTTTTATAATTATTTAACAACAAAAGAATTTGTAAATTTTCAATTAAACAAATTTCATCAAAATCTGAACTTTTAACTGTTATACAAATAAACGTGCCTATGTATTTTTAATATTTTGTCAACTGCTATTATATCAACTTATGAAGAACCTTGTATTAACCTTTYAAGTCTTCTGACCCAATGAATAAAATTTTATTGACATTTATAGAATAAAAGCTAAAAAACGAAAATTTTCAAATGTCTATAAATAACTAAATAGTTGAAATATTTTGAAAATTTTATTGAGAATAGAAAATGCCAGTAAAAACATACAGTGAGTATTTCATGTGYCTACACCAATATCAAAATTCGTTTTTCTCAAAAATCGATGTTGTGTAAAAATTCCTGTTTTCCTGGTGCTTTTGAAAACTACTAGGAAATTCAAAATTTGACCTCCCCGATGCACCAACTAGATTTCGATTTCCAACCAGAATAGCTAATGAAATTGAAAATCAAGCATTATTTCGACAACTTATCGTGTGTACACACAAAAATAACACATCATTGTAAAATCAATACATTCATTCATCGCTCCGCTCAGAATATAAAATATGGGAAAAGAAAACTAGTCACTATTAAATGTTATTTTCAGGTTAAGAGTTCATAACATTTGAAAATCACTTCAATATCAAAATACTTGTTATGCGATTTTAAAAATGAGCCATGACAGATGAGGGGCCCATGATGTTCTCCACTGCAAAAACGCTTATTTCTCCATTGTTAGTAACAGAGAAGTTTACAGAATACATTTATGCATTCCTTAGATATAATAACTAATTAGTCAGATGTAAACCACTTACTTATGTTCCCTCACATAGACAAAACCAAAAATTAAAGTATCTTGCATTGACTGTCTTATAGCCCTATTATACCACAGTTATATAGTAATACACATATGAATAAAAATAAGAAGTAAAACCATGCAGTGTTATGAGGTATTAGATATAATATATTATTAATTGTATATAAATATATATATGCAGTATAAAAGTACAATTCGCTTAAAAACAATACAATTGGCAAATATTGTAGCGAGTAATATACGAATGTAGTTAAAGTATGATAATTAGGTTAAAAATACAAATTTCACATACAGTTACTTATGTATTATGCAAACATGTTAAGTACAATTGTTTTACATAGATAATATTGTTTAATACATGCACTTAATGTGTTATGATTAATTTGTTGGAACATAAAAATAAAGACTTATATAGTTATATTACACTATTTTAGATGATCTACTTTTTTTCAATGCAACAATTTTACAAACATATAATAGAAATATTCAATTATTTTAAAGGACCCTAAATTTTTAACTAAAACTAAAATTATATTATATTAAATTAAATTAAATTATCAACTATATTATGTTTTAAAAACCAATTTCACTTAGCAAAATACCAATAGAATATTCGATTTATGAATTTAGTTTAACTTACATAAGTGATTACACTAATTTAGCTATTTTTTTTTAAAAAACTATTAGTAAATTTTAACAAAATTAAAAAATGTTCAAAAGAAATCAAAGTCTGCTTAGTTATTAATTATTTTTTTAGTAAAATAATAATTTTTGCCAAGAAAAAATATCTAAAAACCTAGAAATGTATAATTTCTAATACCAAATTACAGGCATTATATTATTATGAATATGAATTTGAGTCTATAATTAAAAAAATAAGTCGCATGTCTTGAATAAAATGCGATGGTAAGGGAACTATATTGAATACAATTCCAAATATTTAGTATACTTTTTATAATTTAAATGATAATTATTTATTTAAAATTGAATGATATTTTAAATACACATGAATGAAGAGTATTTAAAAACAAATAATCTTACAAATTAATTATTGGTTACTCAATTACTTATTCTGAAGTTGTATATCCTCCATTTTTTTTTTAAATTTTTTTTTTTTTAAATGTTATTTTAGCGACTTGAACGACCTCTTCTTGCCACTCCTCGACCACGGCCACCACGACCACCACGTGGTGGAGTAGTTTTGACAGCTGGGGCTGGAGCTTCTTTTACTGATTCAGATTCTGGTTCTGCAACAACTTCATTAATTTTAACAACAGGATCTGCAACTACCGAATCTTCAGAGTTAATTGTTTTCAACTCATCATCAGGAATTTCAATACAAGGTATATCAGATTTTATCTCTTGCACATCATCATCCATAGGTTCAGATTGAGGTTCACCTATGCCATTTTGCTCAACTACTGGTTCACCATCTTCAGTTTCATCCAAACGAGCTTTTTTCTCAGGTTGTTCAATTTCAGTTGCTTCTGTGTTCACCTTTTTATCATCATCTTCTTTTTTATCTTCTTTCATTTTACGCTTTCGATTGTTGATTTTTGCCTAAAAAAAAAAATAATTATAATAGGTTGAGCAAATTTTAGATCCATGATATTAACACATTCACTGCTGCTGACGATCACAGGTCGGCGATGGTAGTAAGACTCATGAGGCCACCGCAGATCCGTGGTCGCCACTAGTGTATATTGAAAATAAACTCCTATAATAATTTAGCCATAGAGTTACCGCTTTATCATTAATCAAAGCCATTCATAATATACTATTTGTCTTTTCAGTCGGTTTCTATTTCCCACGTTATTTCATATACATATTTTATAAACCCACGTATATTATCAGTAGATCTAGTATTGTAGTACCAGATTAGAAATATTGATGCGGCATTGAACGAGTTAAAATATTTCGTTATTCGTTTTGAAAAAAAAAAAAAAAAACATTATACTTACATGTAATTTTGTAATAGTGGTGAAGTTAATATAATGTGAAGCAGTTTGACAATGTAAATCTGCTTCTTCGTCATTCTTCATAAACATTGAACAAATACGGCATACATATCCTCCAGTTTTAACTACAAGTTCACGGCCAACAACATTAGCAGGGTTATATTTTTCCTCTTTTTCTTTTTTAATCACTGATGTATCTTCTTTAACAGTATCATTCAACTCCTTATCAATGTTATTTTCTTCTTTGGAATTATCATTCTCTGTTTTTGAAGTTACATTTTCGTCTTTAGAATTGTCATTCTCTACTTTTGAAACATCATTATCTTCTTTGGAAACATCATTCTCTTCTTTTTCCTTCTGAACTTTAACATCATCTATTACCTCATTATCTTTATTGTCTTCAGATTCCTTTCCAATGTCTTGATCTTCTTCTTCTTCTTCTTCTTCTTCATCATCTTTCATATCTTGATCGTCAAGCATATCTAATTTTGATACTACAGGTATTTCTTCTGAATGTTCATCATCTTCAATTACTATCACATCAAGCAATTCAAATTCATCATCTTTAAGATCGGGATTAAATTGACGGCGCTGTTCACCAACTTTGCGTAAATGATCTGAAGACAATTTGTGATCATCCCATTCTAAACGAGTATGGAATAATGTATCACACATTTTGCATTCAGGATGAAGAAATTGTTTCAATTTCTAAAGCAATAAAACAATTTTAGTTAGTACACAATATTAATTAAATTATGAGGAATGGACTTTAGTCTAGGATATTGTACAGCTCAGTTAGTGCCTTAACGGTAGACTATAAGCACCAAGCCRCTGTTGGAAAGTGGGAGATGAGCGAGATCAAGTACAATAATGTTCTTTTGTAGGCATGAGTATGAATGTAATATAAAATATAGGTAATTACACATTTATGTATACAATAAACATAGATATTATTAGGGTTTAATGGAGATTTTGAGCAAAAATTTGAAATTATTGTTTTTATTGATGAAYAATTAAAGTTGAATATATAATGAAAATAAAGATCTTGTATTTATATGCACCTATTTAGAATTTATATCAAATTATTACAGATCTCATTATTTTGTAACGACTAACGAGGTTGACTATATGAATCAATATAAGATTCTGAGATCAGATTCTGAGATCATAAGACATGTATATTACATTATACAACGAATGTGCATTATATTTTAGGAAAGTACTTAGATTTTATTCATTTAGTTACTTACACGATGACGATCACTCTTACGATGTCCAGTCAAAGGGCCATAGAAATTAATATTGCACATAGGACAGTAGTTACGGAACAATGGTTTAGCTTTTCCCTTATTTTGAGCTTGCATACGTTCTAGGTCAATTTCTCTTTGATTTTCAGCTGCTTTAATCTGATGACGCATTAACTCCACTTGCATTTTGTACCCTTCATCCAAGTATGTCATCATCAATTCATGAGGACGACCACGTACATGTTTCTCAAAAGACTAAAATAATGATTTATTGATGTGATTTTTTTATTAAGGTACATTTTGATATTATAAGAAATTAAAACAACTATACTAACGGCTCCGTCCCACATGTGTTTTTGACAAACATGGCAAAATAATACAGCTGTTGGAATACCATCATAATCCACATGTTCCTAAGTTTTTGATATAAAATACAATTATTACATTGGATATTTGTTAAAATAAAAATGTATTTACTTGGTTTGTTGTTTCTTTCTTGATACCATTTGTTTCATTGCTTGAATTATATAAAAAATAATAAAAAAAGTTCATGTTAATAAAATTGATCATTATATAACATACAAATTAGGTCTTTCAAGAAACATAAAAAGAACACAATTTTAAAGTTAAAATGAAACCTTAATTTAAATAATAAATAATTTAAAGAWAAAATATATACAATTGAATGGCAATTTCAATTGAAGTATAATCCCATTTACTCCATGTCAACCATAAATGACTTAAGTTGTTGTCCTTAAGGGATATATTATACACTAACATTGGATGATTTTATTGTATTTATAATCACTCAAAATGCTTAATCATAACAAAATATATTTAAAAAAAAATACAATACAATATACTTGGTTGAAAATGTAAGGATTTAACACCTTAAACAGGTCTTCATTATTGGTTCCTTGAATGATATTTCTGTGCAATGAGAGCATCATTTTATTGAAATAATTAGTTAAATTATATTTAATAACAATAAACCACAAAAACCATGAATACACAATAATAATGAAAGCAGTTTTTTATATTTTGAGTAAGAAGGATATTCATATCTAAATGTTGTATATACGTCTTACAAACACCAAATATGTAAAATATGTGTTCAGCAGTTCTAATTTAAATAGAGAGTAAATTCACCAACTACTAAAATTAAATTAAAAACAGTATCTATTCTGTATTCTCAATCTAGTTTTGAACAATGTTACTATTTTTGATTGAATTATAATTATTTTTAAATATATTAAATAATTATTTTTGTGTAGTTAAAAAATTTAAATATCAAAAAATGGATAGTTATCGGCCTAGATATCAATTCTCTCAAAATTTTTAAGTTTTCAACAAAAATTTGGAAACTGCCAAACAATCTTAGTATRGCATAATAGAGAAAACACAAACCATCCTTTCTTAAATCAGGAAATAAAAAACTGATGTCATGATTATTTTTATTCATAACTTGTGATTTGTTATTATATGTGATTAACATTACAGCTCAAGATGGATTTTTAACCCTATACTTCTAAAAATTAAATTTATGGAAAAGTCAATAAAAGTATTGATGAAAATGATTAAGTTAGATATTATTTTATTAAAAGTTAATAGAAAAATTAAAAATTTKGAAAGTAATTAAATTATTAATTTATCTTGAAATGTACATTTTACTTCTCTGCACACTAGTATCTAGTCCTGTCAGAGGTATTCTAAGAATTGAAATGACCACCTGTCCAATACTTCTGAGGTCATTGGTTGTTTAGTCATTTGAGGTTAATTTTCTTATAACTGATATAATATGTATTATGTTTTTGCGAGATGCAAATATGCAACAATCATAAAAATTTGTATCATTTTGTATCAAAATCACCAAAAGTTTAACATATATAAAAAAATACTCATATGTTTACAGTTGTCGGAATAACATACATATAAAATAATAAMTATTGAGTTTGTTTCAAAAATTGAACTCTAATATGCATATGTTATTCATATGCATAAATAAAGCAAAATTTTACATTCCAAATTACTATAGAATAATGTGCAAACCAATGAGCATTTAAATAAAACTTAACAATTAACACAATATGAATATACACAACCATTAATAATGATGGCCTTTAGAGATAATCAAATTCGTTAAATAGAAATACATTTTCTTTAATTAATTATATAACATTATACTCCACAGAATTTTAGTCCATGGATTAGTCAGTTGAATATTTTGTATAATTATTTAAATAGATTCTTTGGAATTTAAAATATAAAAATAAGTAGGTATATACTTCATAACAAATTTATGAATAAAATATTCTATCAATACTTTAAGAAACAAATGTTATTCAATTAAGATATTGATAAAATACTAATTTGCTTAGGTAATACATGATTGATTTTCTAAAAATAGTTTAGTTAAATGATTTCACAACAATAGAGAAATGTTATAATTTAAATTTTTATAGAATATATTGTAATTTTAATCATAATATATACCCCTAAATAAAATTAACTAAAACTATAAAAATTAGTATATTAATTAAATAAATATTAACACAAACCAACATGTAGCTTATAAACAAAAAAAAATACTTACTTGATATATTTATACTAAAGAAATAATTTTTACAACAAGTAATAAAATAGGGCTTTGAATCCATATAAGTAATAATTCTAACAAGAATACAAAATTATGTATAAAGAAGATAAATAAACAATAAGGGTTAAAAGAGTAGAAAATAATAACACCTATTTCTTCTAACATTTCAATAAAATGCAATGGAATATACAGGCGGATAAAACAATTTAACTGAAGAGGGATTGCCAAATGCTTTTAAAATAGCAGCGAAGAATTATATAAATATATATTTATATAAATCCGGAATAATAGATTTTATGAAATGATTCCTTACCTCTTATCATTTTTATCCGCTTCAGGTTTAGAATCCTTTTTCTTATCGTCCTTTTTTGGAGGAGGTCTACGATTGCGATTATCAGGCCTGCGCCGGTTTTGGTTCTGGCGGTTATCAAACAACCGATCAATTATTGTGCCAGGAACAGAGAGATTCGATAGAGCACAACAAATGAAAAACAAACTCAGATGAGATTATGAAATTCGTTCGATAATTCGATTGCCAGCGAAACGAATCAGCCAGCTCCAGAATTCAAATTGCCAACGGCAACAGGCCAAACTCAGATTAGCTAAAACGCTCAGCAATAATAATCGGCAAATCGAAATTATTTTAATAGAAAGTTTAGATATAGTATAAATATGATTAGTTACTGTACAAAAACCTAATTTAAATAATTTCCTAATAGGTACTATTAGGAATATTTAAAAACCTATCCAATTATTTTCTTTTAATTTGTAAAATATTTAATGTTTTAAGAATATGTAACAGCTTAAGTACTATTTTGTTGAATTTAAACTTGGTTTTACCTTAAACGATTCTTGTCTTCTCACCATTCCAGGGGTTGGACCCCAATTTTGACTACTTCCGTATCCRCCCTAAAATGTTTAATGTTTAGATTTAAATATTAATAAAAATAAATTAACAAATGATAAAAATCCTTATTTTTAAAAGAAGTTGACATATAAAATTTATTAATTTATATTTTTATTTGTATTTATTACCTGATTAGGAGCTAAAAGCTTWGATAATAAATCATTAGCTAGAGCCATTTGATTGGGGTGAACATTAGGCATCATCCCACCTCCTGGGGATACACCAGATTCCCAAGGACTCATCTTCGGGTTTCTACCATAATTATTGAAATTATTGAAACGGCTGCTGCCACCCCCATTGAAATTGCCACTTCCACCACCGCCTCCACTTCCATAATTGCCAGAGCCACTAAAATTATTGCTTGCGCTTTGTCCATAAGAATTTCCATAGCTACCGCTATTTCCGGCACCATAACCACCACCACTTCGACGGTTGTAAGACATTTTGCTGTCAATCAAATAAACATAAGTTAAAATTAATTATAGGTACCAAAAAGTACTTAATTCAAATTTGTATAGACAATAATTATTAGAAAAATAAATAGYCTGATTAATGATAATTTCAGAATATTATTATTAATTTTAATTATTTACTGATCATTTTACCACTTAACACTAGTAATATTTTACACCAGTTATAAAAGACACTATTTAGTGTTCAATGGCTTTAAATTATAATTATGTTATTATAAATTAGAAGCAAATAGTTTTATGTACTTTAGATAGATAGATCAAGTGCTTATTAAATTTGTAATTAATAGTTTTTCAATATCTTCAAGAATTTAGAACATTTTAATATTTATATGAAAATGACTATATGCATATCCCTCGGCATATCCTTAGTATTTTCTGTTTTTAATTAATACCTAAGTGGAGAAATTATAAACAAAGATCAATTTTTGTAGTAGGATTTTAAATTATTTAAWTACAAATACAATTTAAATATTAATTAAAAGTTGAACTCTTATAAAATTATTTTTGTTTGGTTTGGTTAATAAAATAAATAGAAACCCCATTAATTATATTAAAATTGTATAATTTTAACAAAAAGAATTCTAGAATGTCACTCTTTCAATACAAACTGAGCTAAGATGTAGCGTTGTGTTATAAATAAAGTCTTAATAGGTTTGTTTGTTTTGAAAAAAAGTGTACATTTTATTGCAACAAGTGTATACCTAAGTGTTTGTTTCAAAATAGCGTAGTCGTATACGCTATTTGTTTAAAAAAATTTTACATCAGTATACACTTTTTTCAAACTGTCCCAAGAGCAGGTGTAACTGGTGTAGGTATTGATCATTAATTAATTATCGACAAATGGTTGATTCTATGTCTATTTTCAAATAAATTAGATTAATCTACACCAATAGCGTTTGTTTTGAACACATATATATCCGATTACACCTATTACACTTATCCAGTACCGGATCTAGGGGGGGGGGCATCCGGGTCCCATGTCCCAGGCGCAAATTTCAAACTCATCATTTTTATGATTTGGTGACTTTTGGGGGCGCTAATATTATGTTGTGCCCCGGGTTGCATAATTTGTAGATCCGGTACTGCACTTATCCAGACACTACACTAATTAGTGTACACTTTTTATTTAAAACGAACAAATCTATAAATATTAATTTTGATAATATGATTGTAATATTTACAATAATCTATGTTAAATTAAATAGGTAAGAAAAATGTTGCTATGCTACTATATTAATGAATTTCCTTAATATTGGTAAATATATGATAAATACAACTTAATGTAACCATACGTCTATACCAAGTATATATAATAAAATAATCAGAATACAGACTTATTACAATTTTATTTATTTTTACAATCAGTAATAAGAAGCTATTTAGTTGTAATTATTTGTCTTATGCTAAAATTTATAAAATTAAATGTAATAAAAACAGTATATTCTCGAGTATCTATGGTCATCAGCATAACTATCTACAGAGATCAAAATACAAGGGTTAGTAAGTAGGTGTCTTTATGTATAATAATGTCAATTATTACAATACATGTATGTAAAAAAATAAATATAAATGTTAAATAATAGGAATATTAAAATAAATAAATTATTCGATAAAAATTCAAATACTTATTAAATTTTCTTTAAATACTATTTAATATAGGCAATTTCTAAAATAATATATAGTAATAGCATTCTTGCAAGTTAACCAGMAAATAAGATTATCCATCGTTTCAGTGGATCATCAAAAATGTACTGTAACACATTAGGTACCAAATATTATTTCGGCTTCGGTAAAATAATTTCAGTTATATTTCTCCTTATCATGCCTATACACACAATGTAATTTTCTTAGTCAACTACTTGAAAAATAACCAAAATCATATATAAAGTGGTGATTTTATATTGTACTTGYAACAGCACATAATATTGTTTTATTATCTTTTGATCATAACATGAGTTGAGTACATAAACCTGAATCAAAATTGAATGAGCCCCAATAACCCCCACTAAATCAAACTATTAGAGAACACTGATTATAATTATTTAGAACGCGAAAAATTTATCAAATGGGTACTACAGGTCCRAGTAGGTGCAGCAGCTCTGAAAAAGTTTTCACGTCAGCCAAAACAGTCAAGCTTCAATCCGAGCGTAAGTAGGCCAATCACCTCTCACGTGTATCAACACGTATGAGTGTACAACTTTATGACGCGTGCCGGTCGATCAGRATCTTCCGAAAATCGATATAAAATTAACTCACGTTAAACCGGCATCTGCTATCAGTCATAAATAATAAGAACCTAAGCGAATTGTCAGCGAGGGGTATGAAGTCTCATAAACGCGATAATGATTAATTAATAAACATTAGTACGATAAACCGTTTTCGATAGATGTAGGTATTTACATACTAATGCGATGGGGGCCGTCAGAGGAATGGCGTCGATGCGTGAATTGAGATAAATACAACAGATTTCTTGAATTAGATCGACTGTCGCGTTGTCGAACAGGTTATTTTATTTGATCAAACATAAATTATATCATATTATTATCGTTAATAAGGGGAATCTTGTTCGATGTTTTTCAACGTGTCGTGTACCCGGCACGCGCCCTATATGTGTATTGGCGTCGACGACTGCCGAATGTTGTAAATACTCACGGTTAGGTCGTTGTAAGACGACGACGACGATGATATCAAGGTGTAAAATGTGTACAACGAAGATTGAGGTTTTTGAATGGATTTGTTTGTACAGAACACAAAACGAACGAATCGACGGACGGGATAAACGCGAACGGCGACACAAGATACGAGAATATAGTACGAAAACTGCAACTAAAATGGCGGAAACCGACGCCAAAACTCGTAGTGGTCTTTCAACAGTGTAACCAACTGTCGACCAGTGTTGCATTTTGAAAATATGGTTTGACGCGCTGTGTCGTATGACGTGTTCAAGTTGTTCGTAGCATCTAAATAAATAAACTATGTTCTGTGTTTAATGTTTATACTAAACGAAAAAAATAATAATAATAAGTAGCAAGTACTTAATATGTCTTATATCGTATAATAAATATTATTGTTTATGCTTCATTCATAGATATTGAGCTTATGGATGCGGCGTTGTCTTACTGTGCTTAGGACTTGAAGTCAATCTAACAAAGAGAGAAACGACGTTTCTTCTTCACATAGGTTGTCTGTCTTCAGTAGTGTGGGTTTTTTCTGTTATACACGCTACACCTCCATATTAATAGAAAAAAATAATTATGCGATTCAGAAATCTGAATTTATAGATACTTGGATTTGGATCATATATCAAATTCCCAAATTTTGTAATATCATAGACTTTATACTTTATACTAAGTATTTAACAACGTTAAGGCATTAGGCTTACTCTTAAGAAGGGTAGTGACTGCCCCCGATAAACGGACAATTGGTCCCCACATAAAAATGTCGTATGCGGACAATCGGTCTCCATCATAATTTTATACACATACAAATTGGTCACCGGTCAATAAGTTTTGAAAAGGTATAATATAGTCAATTATAGTGAATAGATTGTAGATATAACATTAAGCTGCGAATTTTTATAGATTATAAAATTGTAAAATTGTCTCCATCATAATTTTATACACATACAAATTGGTCACCGGTCAATAAGTTTTGAAAAGGTATAATATAGTCAATTATAGTGAATAGATTGTAGATATAACATTAAGCTGCGAATTTTTATAGATTATAAAATTGTAAAGTAGGTATAACACTAGTTTTAACATGAACTTTTGAATAATTGTACTATTTGTACTCCTTAAGTCTTGCTGTAAAACATTGATGAACACTATGATGCTTTATTCCCGCGAGATATTATATTTATATTATTTATTTATTTATTTTGACCATTCAGTTATTTATTCACAAAGTATTATGTTATTGGAAATATAAAATAAGTTTTAAAAAATTTATTTTTTATTTAAGTATTTAACTCTTTAATTATTTTTACGTTTTATGCTAAAAAATATTTTGTATTAAACTCGAAAGCTGGGTACCTACTATATATTATAATCAAACATAATATAAGATAAAATATGTAATACATACACCATCTCCGAGGTTAAAGACTACTTTAAAAGTTGTCGTAAATACTTATGGGGACGTCTGGACGTGTATACTTAACATAAATTGTTTTAGATAGGTACTATTCACTCAAACATAATAATGTGTTATCCGGCGTATTGTATATGCAAATCAAGCACATTATTACCGCAGTGTTTAATATTTTCATAATTACATTTACTAGCAGAAATTTGAAGAAATTATCTTACATTGTATATTTGAATGATTCAAATTAGATTCAAATTGAATCTAGGAAAAAAAAAGCAACAAATGGCATTTGAGCGCTTGCTGTTTTTTCCAATTCTGATACAGTAGTGGCAAATATTTCAACACGATTTGTATTTGTTATGGCTATTTTTATTTATAAAAAAAATATAGTTTAAATAAAAACGTTTAAAGTATTATTATGACATTTTTTGTTAGAGAAATAGAGTTAATTTATTAAATGTTTATGGTAATCGGAAAAAAATCMCTGGAAAAAAAAKCCCCGGAAAAAAAATCCCCAAAGCAATTATTTAAAAAATTACATAATTATAATAATATATACCTAATTAGTATA